TGCCAAGTTCCCGATCATTCAGGATTAGATTGGGAAAAACCCACATTTCCCAAGTTCCCGATCATTCGGGATTAGATTGTGAAAAAACCCACATTTCCCAAGTTCCGGGGTAACAGATCTAAACCAGAAGATTCAATATTTTGCATTGCATGTTTTCTACTATACAGCTGGCCAAATAAACCTCAAGATTTTTTCACAATGAACTGAAATGAAAAAAGAATAACTCTTAAGTAAAGAGAAATCTTGTAACGAAACTCGTAACCTTCTTGACATTGATAAAAATAAATATAAATTATTAACAAGTGTGGACATGTGGAAATGGCAAACAGTATTCAGTATTTATATATATTTTGTCCGTTCACACTGAAATACTTTGTTACTTCGATATTGTTTATTTCTACAATGGGAACTATAGAATAGTTTTTATTGGATATCTGTACATGAGGCATGTAACAGTTGGGCAGATATTTAAAAAGGAAAACAGAGTGTTGACCTTTTCGTGACCTGTAAGTAACGTATTTTTTTTTTCAAGCCCTAAATATGCTATCACTGCTGTGGTATGTATTTGTTGAAGTTATTGAACCTTTTTACAATAGGAGAGAAAACTGTTGAACTTTCCAATTTCATAACCACAGGTATTTGTAAAAATAACAAAAGTTTTCAAGTCTTAATTTATAGTGACTGTTTTAACATGTTTATTACAAAGTTGTAAAATTGTGTGTACTGCTCTTATACCTTACCCCACAGAATGTCCTTTATAGACTTGTGGACAAAATTGTTGATCATTTTCTTGGGGAAATTTTTTAAAGGCGCAATATGCCTCAGAAACGAATAATTTTTTGCCTTATTTAGAAAGGGCAAACATGAGTTTTATAACATGTAAATAATGGTTTTTAAAGCATGTTAGATGCTATTCATCTGAAAAAAATAGCACTGTATGTAAAATTATTTGTCTTATAAGAAGCAAAATGTAAACAAATCAATATTTTAACTTCCATACAAAATACTCAATCACTTTAACTGCACCAATTGCTAAAAAAGATGGTTCAGGTAATTTGCCATTGAGTAACTACGGAATCTACAGTAGGACACCAATGTCAAAAAGCTTTTTAGAAAATAAAATTATAAGCATCTTTGAGGCATAATGGGCCTTTAAATAAGTGCAGCATGATTGAATAAGAAAACAGTACAGTGTAGCATGATTGAATAAGAAAACAGTGCAGTGCAGCATGATTGAATAAGAAAACAGTGCAGTGCAGCATGATTGAATAAGAAAACAGTGCCGGGCAGCATGATTGAATTAGAAAACAGTGAATGAATATTAGAACAACTCTATAAAATGAGTATTAGAACAAATGAAAATGAATATTTGGTGAAAATGCTTCTGTAAAACTCTGCAAAGGTCAATATTATGGCAACATTACTTCTTTACTTGTGGAGGAAGATCTGAGGTGCCCCCTTTAACATTTATTTAAGTAGATACATGTAGAACCACAAACTGTCTGTAAACCAGCTGGGTTTCTTCCTCAATAAAAAGAATTCATAGACTGCTTTGAAACAAGATTCAGAACGGTATTAAATTGATATCAATTTTTATTCGATTTTCGGTCCTGTCATGTCAAAAAACTCACCGGAGTCTCTTTAAGACCATATTCTTTAGTGGACAGTCTATCTGGTAAAGCCATGCATTAGATTATCATATATGTGCACAAAATCTTAAACAAAGCTTTGCTTCATTGTATTTTATCATAGTTTTAAACTGATTACATATATTTATGTCATAATTAAGAATGAGAACTGTAATTTTGACTGTTTTATAAAGATTTGATTGATATGTCTATAATTAAAACCCAAACGTGATTCATGTGATATGGATATTACTACTGTGATGTTTTGTCATTTATAGTGCAATAAAATCATGTATAGGTGTTTTCGAACTAGCACAGCGCTTTCTGCTTGATTAATAATAGTTGTCAATGATAGACAAAGCGATAATAATTAGGGAAAGCATGGTAAACGCATAACTTATAAAGGCCCATTATGCCTTAGAAATGCTATAATTTTCATTTATCAAAAATTTTCTGCCTTTGGTATCATGTCACAGATTCCAAAAATACTCTTTTGCCATAGATTAACTATCTTCCGTTTTCAAAATGGTATATTAAGTGAATAAGTATTTTGTATGGAAGTCAAAATACCACTTTGTTTACATTTTGCTACCTATACGATACATCACTGCATGTTCAGTGCTACTTGTTTCAGTTGTTGAATATATAACATAAATTATGTTCTTAATCCAGTTTTAAAACATTATCAAACACATGTTTGGCATTTATAAAGAATTTATAAATAATGGATTTCTGAGGCATAATGTGCCTATAAAGTAAACATTTTGCATAAAGTGTGGTTAAACATCACCAATAAAAAAATTACCCGTCACCTCTTTAATTTCTAATGCACAGGTACCTATGACTATAAAGTGGTGAAACAGGAAACATCATTTGAGCCACGTCACGACAAAACCAACATAATGGGTTTGCGACCAGCATGGATCCAGACCAGCCCGAGCATCCGCGCAGTCTGGTCAGGATTCATGCTGTTCACTATCAGTTTCTTTACTTGTTATAGGGTCTGTAAGCGAACAGCATGGATCCTGATCAGACTGCGCGAATGCGCAGGCTGGTCTGGATCCATGCCGGTCGCAAACCCATTATGTTAGTTTTTGTCGTGACGCGGCTCATTTATATCTATAAAGATGAGTGAAAAGACTGGAACACAAAATTATTAAACAAAGATGTTCGCTGAATATAGTTAAGTTGTTCCATTATTTGCTTGGTTGATTTTTTAAGTAATGCATCCAGTCCCTGAGACATTGAAAGTACTTGGTAAAAAATGGCTTGCATACATTTATACAGAGTTGTCAAATTATTGCCCAAAAATGCAGTTTGCGGAAGAGCAGTTTTGAAGAAAATCTAATGATATTAAAATGCAATGGAATGGATCATTTATAGTTAATGAAGCTTCCCATTGACAGTTTGAGTGATATTTGAAAAAGAACAAACAAAAAATTGTTAAATTTTCTAACTTGATGCTAGAAAAGCTGCCTTAATTTAAGTATATCTGCACATAATCATGAATGGTTTTATTAAAATGTATTCATTATGCATAATGTTCAAATATGTGTCTGCATGTATTCTCCGTTTTCAACATGAAAATTGAAAGGTTTAAAAATTCACAGATCAATAAGTTTTTAAGTCAATATTGTATATTTAAGTGAAGGTAAATCATCCCCCCTCCACCACACACACATGATGTTTTATTACTATCAACTAAGGTGTTATAAAGAAATCCCCTTGGCTTGATTTACAAGTGTTACATGTGGTTTTTTTATGTTTGAATGTTATACTGTCTAGATATGATGTGAATCTGTTTGTCCAGCATGGTATAAAGGAGACCATTGTCCGTAATGGATTTGTTAAATTTTCTTTAAAGGCCCATTAATATATGCCTAAGAAATGCTATAATTTTTATAGCTCAGAAACTTTCTATCTTAAGTATCTTGTCTCAGTTTCCAAAAATCCGACTTATTTGCCATATTTTACTTTAAACTTTCTTTTGCTTATTTTGCTCTGATTGTAAATGGTTTATTTAGTGAATTAGTATTTTGTATGGAAGTCAAGATACTAATTTGTTTACATTTTGCTATCTTTATGACACGTCACTGCATGTTTATACGGCGCCACTTTTTTTCAGTTGTTGAATATTAAACAATTTCATTTCCTGCAAGTTCAGAGTTTTTAAACTAAGCCCAGTACATCTGTCATTTTGTCAGTTTTCATGACCATTAGAATTCCCTATATCTTAGTAAGTGTATAATTATTAAGATTTTTTTCCAAGTTAATTGATAAAAAATGTCTAGTTCATTGTCAAAACTTCTGTTTCGATTATATATAGAACAGTCTCTAAAAGGTTTCTCATAAGAGAGATTCTTTTAGTATTTGACTGGTTTTTATGTCTGAAAAAGACCGCGCACAGTTACAATGATGACATTTCACGTCCCTTTTACATTACTTTTGATCAGTCGTTGATAAATGTCTTGATATCCAGTATGACATAGGCATTATTTGATTCATATTAGAAGTTAGATAGTCTATTTGGTTATAAATATGAATATTAGAATTTATGTCTTATTTTCACATGGTGATTTATAACTTAAGCTGATATATTTTGATCATAAAATGGTAGGAAGGTATGGTAAACTTTGACAGAAATATTCACTTGAACAGATTTGATCAGTAGAGATGTTTGTGTTGAGATTTCACAAAGGCATTTCCTCAGTGTCATAATTTGACAGCACTGATGTTGTGTCATAATTTGACATCTTTTCGTATCATAATTGATGTAATTTTAAGAAGACATAATAATCATACATGTTAATTTCATGTCATAATTATACATGATTTAATGTCATAAAATTTAGCATCTGACATGATTTCATACCATTATTTGAGATTAAAGCATGTCATAATTTGACATCAAACTGGCATGTCATAGATTAACAGCATGATATTGTAACAAAATTTTGTAAATATTTTATTGTGATCATCTCAATTAAATAATGTCATTATTTGACATCAAACATGGCATGTTATTGTTTATCACTAAAACTTTGATGTCAAATTCAATTATTCATAACTAATACTTTCATGTGAAGTTTGACTTTGATATCATGTCAAAATAAGACAATATTTGTGACCAAAATATGACATCATAATTAATTTTCATGTCATAATTTGACATCAATTTTTTTTTTAAGGCCATTGGACTTCAGTGGAGTTCTTTGGAAAAAGGCCAGCTAAGAGGCAAAAAAATAAAAGCTGTTAATTAATACATACCATAACTTAGTTTTACTGAAAAAGAGTTATGTTTTAAATAATAAATTATTATTAAATGGTGTTCTATTTTAAGGTGTATAACACATGTTTATTTATTATTTACAGAAACAAGTGCCTAAATGAGCGCCGTAGACGTGACCAAGAGAATCACTATTTTGAGGAGCTTGCGGAGATTATTACAGCGAGCTTAACGGATATGTCGAGTACATTCTCCGTGAAACCCGAGAAGTGTGCAATCCTTCAGGAGACTGTCAAACAAATTAAACAAATCAAACAAGGTAAGTTTTATTTTCATTACGGGGATAAAAAACATACTGATTTTGGATGAAGTAAATCAAACAAAATGTGATCAGATTTTTACAAGAAGATGTCAATCAAACAAGATTAAATTATTCTAGGCAAGATTGAACAAGGTGATTTTTATTTTCAATACGGGGATGAAACATACTGATTTTGAATCAAGTAAATCAAACAAGATGTGAGAAGATGTCAATCAAACAAGATTGAATTATTCTAGGCAAGATTATAACGGTTATTCAAACAAGGTAAGTTTTATTTTTATTACGGGGTTAAAAATTACTGATTTTGGATCAAGTAAATCAAACAAGATGTGATCAGATTTTTACAATAAGATGTCAATCAAACAAGATTAAATTATTGAAGGTTAATCAAACAAGGATGAAACATACAAATCAAACAAGATGTGATCAGATTTTTACAAGAAGATATATATGAAACAAGTTTGAATTATTCAAGGGAAGGTGATAACTGTTAATCAAACAAGGTAGGTTTTATTTTCATTATGGGGATAAAACATACTGATTTTGGATCAAGTAAATCAAACAAGATGTGATCAGATTTTTACAATAAGATGTCAATCAAACAAGATTAAATTATTGAAGGTTAATCAAACAAGGATGAAACATACAAATCAAACAAGATGTGATCAGATTTTTACAAGAAGATATATATGAAACAAGTTTGAATTATTCAAGGGAAGGTGATAACTGTTAATCAAACAAGGTAAGTTTTATTTTCATTATCAAGTAAATCAATCCAGATGTGAAGAAGATGAATCAAACAAGATTAAATTATTCTAGGCAAGATGAGGTTAATCTTCTGTTTTAAGTGCCCCAGATGATCTTTGTAAGCAATTCAAATTTTATGAATTTACGCCTCAGTGGAGTTCCTTTAACGAACACATCTTACTTGCAGACAGATATCTTTATTAGTATGTTAGTATAGATAATAGGCGTGCAAAGTGATGAAACTTTATGTCCAAACCTTTTATTGTCTATCACCCGGTTTCTCATCGGAGCTTTAAACCAGCTTTCAAACGGTTATGGTAATAGATACTTAACGAAAAATTGGCATTGAATATTAAATGAATGATTCGAATGGCCGCTGTTTTGAGAAACTAATGAAAACGACATTTATTCAGAAATTACACAGTACATCGATGGGCGAACCTATTATTTCAAATGCATATATTGAAAAATCGCCACAATAGAGCAGGCAAGGGATGAAAAGAAGATTGGGAGCCTTGACGGGTTTAATTTAATGTTAAGTGAAATAGGATTGGTTCTGATGGTATAGTGACACCTTTAAGAGGTCACCAAAGGTCATGTTGATCATGGAGTTGACATGGTATCACCTGGCAATGATAATATTGTTTAATGAGATACCTAGGTTTAGGAGGAAAAAGAAAAAAAAGGAATTTTTATTCAAATAAAAAACAAAACAGAAATGAAAAAAAAAAAGAAGAAATAAACTCAGGTTTGAAAAAAAATAAAAACAAGTCACAGAATCAGACTGTTTAGAAAATGTGATAAATCATTTCCTTTTATACTAAACATGGAATTGAAATTATGCTTATCAAAAAATTGATTTTGTGATTATATAGAGTATAGGGTAAACAAACCAGATGAAGACCCCAAAACATCCCCTCCCCCACTGACCTTCTCCATCCCTCGCCAGTCCTTTTCAAATTGGCCAAGGAATTGTTTTTCTAAAGGCTTATGAATGGAAAAATGAGAAAATTTGATGTTGTTATTTTTTCTCAAAAAATGTGAAATAGTATTTATTTACTTTCTCTATTCGTTAGCACATTACCATTTGTGGAAGGAGAAAAGAAGTTGTTAAAGTTTTATTAGCATGTAATAAAAGTCATGTACTGTTTTAAAGCTGAGAGAGGTTTGTTTACACTGAAAATGTTTCTTAATGAATAAAACTAAGTATGGTGATTATAATATTTTAGGTAAGATTTTTACTGGAAAACAATGTTTAGTAACTTTTATATAAATGAAAGATTGGATATTAAATGACAAGCTTATGGATTGGCATTAATTACAGTTCTGGTAAGAGAATCATATTTTTGTTATGTTCCCCAGGGGTGGTACATGTATATAGTATTATGTATTTGTTGGTCTGTCTATCTTGTTTGTCTATCTGTATGCTTTTTTTGCAGATATTACTCCAGTCCTGTCATGTCAAAAAACTTCAGTGGAGTCCCTTTAAAGCATAGAAAGTGCAGTGTGTTTTTGTTCATTACTGAACACTTATTGCCTCGAATATTTTTTTTTGATCACCTGTGCTTTTATAGCGCTGATTATAAATGAACAAGCTGCAGTATGGTGTCACTAAATGGTTAATGCATACAACTTTTAAAAGTAATCAGGGGCAAGCTGTTGTTTTTCCGAGCATGAAACTTCTAGCATTGCTAAGATTCCAGAATATGTAACTTATTGCTTCTTACAAAAAATAAAAAGGAATTCTGTATAAAAAAAACTGATGAAGAAAATGATTGATTTTTTTCCAGGAAATTCTGGGGGCGGGGATTCGGCAGTACAACAGAGTCAAGTGTCATCGAGTAAACCTGCCATCTTAGCAGACGACATCTTAGGACCTTTGCTTTTAGAGGTTTGTATATTACTTGTTGTGCAATCCGTTGGGAAATTGTCAAGGTTGCCGACTTCTCATAACTTGCAGCTCATGGTTGATTGTTTGTCCCTTTCAAGGGACTTTGGATGCTTCATATGATACCAGATATATTACCGTTATTACGGATAAGCAGTGCATGGATGGGCACCTAAGACTTTAAATTTCCAAAGCTGGTTAAGTGGCCAGTTATGCGATTTGTATTTTTCAGCCGAATTTGTCAAGATTTTGTGAATTCAAACATGACACAGACTGATTTTTAGATCATATTGACTATTGAGGTAGATTTGATGTAGGTACAGATCGTAATATAGGTTATACCAACAGTTGACCAAATGAGTGGTTGCGGTTCTTGATATATATGTATAATAAGTTAGGTTTGAACCTTTACCGTTTGAACCTTTACCTGTCATCAGGGTCAAGTGATAGGAAGATGAACGTAACTGATGATAACAGTGGCTACATCGATAGTTTTAGATTATAGTATATATTGCCTGTTTCTTCTAAAATCAAATGAGTCATTAAAGAAACTTTTGAGCCAAATTACGAAGAAATGGCTAAGTGTCATGTAGTGAAGGGCGAGGTTCAGTCAAGCCATGCTAGCTATGTTCACAAAGTATTAAGCCTTTTAAGTATTTATTATTGCCATTTTACGTTAGTGAAATACTATGAAAAACAAAACAATGATACTAGCTGAATTGTTAGGTTATATTTAAGTCGAAAGGTTGAACATCTTACCTTTTGAAAATTATGTTTGTAAGATTTTTGTGCCCCCACGTTAGTGGCGGGCATTTAGATTTACCCTTGTCCGTCCGTCCGTCCGTTCGTTCACTTTTGTGTCGCACGTAACTCAAAAAGTATTTGACCTAGAGTCATGAAACTTTACAGGAATGTTGATCAGCATGTGTAGTTGTGCACCTGGGTATTTTCGTCTGGATATTTTTAGTATTTTCAGAGTTATTGCCCTTGACTTAGTAAAATTTTGCAATTTTCAACTTGTGTCGCATGTAGCTCAAAAAGTATTTGACCTAGAGTCATGAAACTTTACAGGAATGTTGATCAGCATGTGTTGTTGTGCACCTGGGTATTTTCGTCTGGATATTTTTAGTATTTTCAGAGTTATTGCCCTTGACTAAGTAAAATTTTGCAATTTTCATTTTGTGTCGCATGTAACTCAAAAAGTATTTGACCTAGAGTCATGAAACTTTACAGGAATGTTGATCAGCATGTGTAGTTGTGCACCTGGGTATTTTCGTGTGGATATTTTTAGTACTTTCAGAGTTATTGCCCTTGACTTAGTAAAATTTTGCAATTTTCAGCTTGTGTTGCACGTAACTCAAAAAGTATTTGACCTAGAGTCATGGAACTTTACAGGAATGTTGATCAGCATGTGTATTTGTGCACCTGGGTATTTTCGTCTGGATGTTTTTAGTATTTTCAGAGTTATTGCCCTTGACTTAGTAAAATTTTGCAATTTTCAACATGTGTTGCACGTAACTCAAAAAGTATTTGACCTAGAGTCATGTAACTTTACAGGAATATTGATCAGCATGTGCAGTTGTGCACCAGGTATTTTCGTCTGGATTTATTTAGTATTTTTAGAGTTATTGCCCTTCACTTAGAAAATTTTTGCAATTTTCAACTTGTGTCGCAAGTTACTCAAAAAGGATTTGACATAGTCATTAAACCTTGGGCAGGTTGCTCAGCATATTTAGATTTGCACCTGGGGTTTCGCTTGTGGATTTATCCAGTATTTGTAGAGTTATTTCCCTTGACTTAGAACAGTGGCGCGGTGGGGGCACCCGTGTCCTATGGACACATTTCTAGTTTTTATTTTGATTGGTTATTCTTACATATCAAACTGGTGTTCCCATGCCTGAAACTTCATCTGGCATGGGAGTGCCAAATGAGACACCTGGTTTAAAATGATGTCATTTTAACCGCATTTCAGGAATGAATTGCGCTAAAGTAACATCATTTTGAGTCATATAAAAATGAAACTGCTTGCCTAGGATGTCATCATTTCGCTGTTATGAAGTTGTAAATTGGTAAGCTATTGTAGGAAGTTTGCAGTACAGATCGAAATATCTGCCCCTCAGGTACCTGCCCATGGGATGCAACTCGGCAAGCTTCGTAACTGCCCAATGGGCGAGTACCCTCGGATCCAAACCAAGACATATGACAAATGTTATTATTTGCAATATCAATATACTACAGACAGTTTGTTATGGATGATTGGTTGATAAATTTACAGCATGAATTATTTAAATGAAAATAAAAAAAACCTCTAAATTTTTTCTGAAAAAGGTTGATTGATTGTGTAATTGGTATTCATGCTCATTATCGTAATACAGGTGAAATTAAAATTTTGATTTACACAAAATTATGTGAATAGTAGCCCGTGCTGGAAAAAAGAATGTCAGTGTGTACGTGTGTATGTGTGTGTGAAAGTTTATGTATTTTTAAAAAAAAAAAAAAAAAAATTCACATCAAAAACAACTGGTACACCAGTTCACCATAAGAAACCAATGTGACATGTGCAAGACTTAGGTCTCGTGCTCAAATGTCAGATCACAGCTAGGGGTTTAATGTATTAGTCTGAAGTACTGGTATATGTTCACATACATGATCAATGTAAGTACATTATGTGTAGTGAAGGTCAGTGTCTTACTTGGAGTTCATAGGTCAAATCTTGTCTGATTTACAAATTTGTCAATACTTAGTAGATTGTTGAATTATTTGGCACATGTTTTAACCACTGTCATTACTAGTGTGTTGCACCTCAAGGTCAAGGTCATTATTGGAGGTTAAAGGTCAAAACCTTTATAATCCATAATAATTTTGTCATTACTTGGAATGTCAAAATATTGGGCTTGAGCTTTTACCGTAGCCAGATAATGTGTCACATGCAAGACCCACCTCTGCACCTTCAAGGTGAAAGTTTTACTTTAAGGTCAAAGGTCAAAAAGTGTGTGTCTACTAACCTCCTAACTGGTCTATACACGTTGTTTCACAATTGGTTTTTAAACGTTATTTGCTTCAACAAACATACAATAAAAGATGAAATGATTTCAAACTGTTACATTGTCATATTGTCATTTAATTAATGTATGCATATGGTGCTTTATTCGTAATCAGTTGAACAAAAAGCATAATTTTATTTTATCATTTCTATTTTCGTCTTTTTCCAATGATATCGGCTCCTACATCATGTACTGCAGCAGAAAATTGTGAACGTATTTTGTTGATATATCTTACATCAATCGTTCAACTGTTTTACAACTTATAACCTACTTACGTATTTCATATATTTTCGTACCATCAGCAAAGTTAAATATATCTACAAGTATCGGTTGTGCTTTCAATTGTCACATTCAAGTAAAAGTAACATGTTTGGTATAGATTGTCATGGTATAATGGAAAGACAGCTTTAAGAGGAATTTAGTGGTGTAATGCCTCAAGAGTAATTATTACAGTTAAAGATGATTCATATAGTCTGAGGAAGTGAAATGCATGATAGTGACTTGTACACAAGTGAGTATAGTAAATTGTTATTTTAAAAGCACATTATGCCTCAGAAAAATAGTTACTTTAAAGGCACATTATGCCTCAGAAACAAATATTTTTTTCCCCTTCTTTTGAATGGGCATGCTTGAGTTAATAATAACATATAATAATAATATATCTAAACATAATGATATATCTAATAACATTTAGATACTGGTTTTAGAGCATGCTACATGCTCATCGACTGAGGAAAGTAGAGCTGAATGTGTTACTATTTGTCATAAAGGTAGCTTTATGTAAACAAAGTAGTATTTCGACACCGATAAAAAAGTACTAAATTATTAATTGTACTGACTGACAAAATGCGAAAGAAGTGGGGAAAAAATATTGACTAAAATAGGACACCAAAAATAAAAAGCTTTTTAGAATTTGAAAACAAAAATTAAAAATTTTTTGGGCATAATGGGCCTTTAAGCAAATGGTATCATATCTACTAAGTGTTAAAGATTTATTTATTTTTTGTATACAAATATTCTTAGGTAAACAATGGAAGTTTTATTATGCTTACACTGTAATACATCTGCTAAAGTTCAAATTCAAACAAATTTACCTGCAGGAAGGTTGGTAGTTCTATCCAAGGGCTTGCATTTATATAATTTTCCTGGACTCACAATATGATTTTGATATTGCACATGTACATTAAGTCCTATAAAAGGATGATACTGCATGTTTACAATAAAACCTATAACATGACAGGACAGAACTTTTAACTTTTTTTTGCTTAAATTTTCAGTTAAACAGTTTTTTGTTTTCTCTAAGAAAAAGTAAAAAAGTTGAGCGTTGCCCCCGCCCGGCTGTGGCTCTTGTCAAGTATAAACATATTTGCACAAAGTGCAGAAACTTGATTAATTTTAAGAGATATTTGAAATTTTAAGTCATTTGAAAATTAAAGTTCATAGAAATTAGAAAATACACTATTGCTGATTTTGAGACTTCAGTGTATATGTCCCTTGAATTAACAATGTATGTTGTATAGAAAGTAAAGGATTGCCAGGCACATATGATATTGTATTGTATGTAATTTCAAGTTAGTTGAAATTTTTAAAATGTACAAATTTGAAGTTTGATGAAATTTTTTATGTAAAAATTAAATATCTTCAGTTGACCACAAAACTGCAGTAACATATGATATAAAGAAGGACTTACAACAGTTTTGCAGTCAACCCTTGAATTATACATTATACATTTCAACATAATGTGCAATATAGTTGAGTTGAAAATTGTTAATTTTCTGAAGTATTGTTTACTGGAATCGCATGTGTTGGAGAGAAAAAAAGAAATGAAATACAGGGAGAAATTTCATTAGCGTGTGAAGGAGTGACATGATTGTTGTAGCCAATCCGTTATTTGTGTGTGATATTTGATAATTATAAAGAAGCAATTTTTGAAGAAGAAAAAAAGTTGAATCATTTGGT